TTACGTGCATGCATACTTGTAGACACCCTCCACCCCCCCACACAAATACACCCATATGATTACCAAAAGTCCAAGGATTCTGGATATATCTAAGGTAAGAAGGGCATGGGCTTCAAAGATCATCTAGGACTGTGAGTGTAGCTTGAGGGTCTTTGTTTTTTAAATAAACTCAGATGGCTCACTGACTCACTTGTAATTGCAATACTATATACTTGGAAAGTATAAAAGACAACAGGCAGCTGGTGCTTGTGGCTCATGCCTGTAATCCCAGATACTCAGGATGTTGAATTCTGGAGGATAATGGTTCAAAATCAGAAGAGTACATTAGACTTCATCCCCAAAATAACCAAGAAGTATGGCTGGAAGATTAGCTCAGGTAGTACAATGCTACCCACAGGGATGAGGTCCCTCTAGTAAGACAAAAAAATCAAAACCAAACAACAACAACAAAAAATACAGGACTGCAAATGTTATGTGTTCACAAATTATAGAGTGAGATGTTAGGCATCTACTGATTCATATATATATATATATATATATATAAATATATATATATATATATTCATAGTTTATCATGCCTTTGGCTTGGAAACCCCTTGTTACTACATGCTTGTTTTGCTTACATGGAACACAGGTCATGGCATTAAAATACAATAAAAAGGCTTTAATGCTTTAGCCAATAAATTACTTTTCTCTTTTCATTTTTACATTTCTCTTTTCATTTCTATTCAGTCTTAAGGGCAGTAAATTTTGTCATTTTTCTTAGAATTCTACGCTATGCTTCCACACAGGGCACAGATATATAGTGATGACCAGTGTCTTGTTCTCCAACATGTAATGAGACGTATCATTTCATTGAATATCTGAGATTCTTTGTGTGAGACGAATACAAAGGACTTTCTGCATCTATCTCATTACTTTAAATTCACACCTCATGTGTTACCTACAGAAAGAAGGCTGCTTAAAATTATTTTAATTTAGTAAAATAACTTAAAAAAATTGCTCCTGAATAGAAAGAGTTGGAAAAAATTAAGTGAAGGTAGGCCCGAAGAAACATAGGTCCTTATTTGCAATAACTAGTATATATCTGGGACAAGCAGAAAAGGTCAAAAAGCTATGTACATATGACCAGATAAGATGATGTTAAGCGAAATGAACCCCAAGATAGTGACACAAGTGGTTTTTTCTTGCTTGCTATTGTTCCTAATGTATTTATAATCCACCATGTGATTTTTTTGTTTCTTTGTATGTTCCTCCCCCACGGTATAACCCTGTTTCCACTGTATTTGATGTCAGTGCCCTGCATCTTGTATATACACTTCTCTAGCTTGGGGAGGAGAAGGAAAAAAACAAAATGCCTAAATAGGGATACAGGTTGACCCATGATAACAATGAGATGTACAAGACACTATGTTGAAAAACAAACTTTACAATTTAGGTAGGGAAGGGGGGAGGAGTGTAGCTGTGGAGGTGGGAGGGAAGGGAAGGTAGGGGAAAAACAAAGGAAGAGGTGACAATGCTTGATAGGAAATGTACTCATTACCTTGCGCATGTAACTGTAACCCCTCTGTACAGTATTTTTACAATAAAAATGTCTTTAAAAATATAAATAAAAAATTACTCCTGTACTCTATTTGTACTAAACCCATATACAAGTTAGTTCTAAAGGGAATCAAGTTCAGAAACCCAAGAAATCCAAAGAAGGAAAACACACAGTGACACAAACCATTCACCAGCGATAAAGGAATCAGCAAACTGTTGGAAAACAGAGAGCTTGTAATAATGAAAAAAGGACAGTTTTGTAATCAATCACTTGTTTTCTTTGAAAAACACATAACCACATTAACTTTTTGCTTTATACATCCATCTAGAAACTATAAAACAGTACCACATTGTGCATTTAGCCTACTTATCAAGAAGGGAACTCCACATGTCGTAAGAATTCTACCCATATTAAAAAGGAAGGAGACAGCAAATAGCATAGTCACAGGTACAACGTAAGTCCAAGCAAAATGATCAATTCTTTGACGTCACCTTTTCCATTTATCAGAGTGGAGAGTAGAAAGCCAGGGGAAAAAAGAGGGAAAGAATCACCCACAGAGGACTAAACACAATCCATAGTTACTTTCCACAACTATTGCGCAGGGTTTCATAGAATAGTATTATTTGACCAACACACTGTGAATGGGGGTATGGGTGTGAAGGAAACTTGAGTAGAAGGAGAGAATGGTTTCACCCTATTCCCTCCTAAATACTCTTCAATGATACAAGCTTCTGTGCTAATCCAAAAAATGGCAAGAAATTAATATTCAGAATGTGATAAAGCTTAAAGAGATTTGTTCTTTTTGCAGTTGAAATGTGTTTCACAACAGTGCCTTACAGTTCAAAATAATTACAATTTTAGGAGCAATTACTCCTTAAGAGATTTCCCCACAATCCTTTTCCCTACTCTTAACATGGTGGCACTGCTATAGACACTCTGTAAATTACTGAGTGGGAATTCAGAGATAAATATTAAGGGATAGTGAGATGGAATTCTTGCTCTTTCTATAAGTCCACATCTTTCTAATAGTACTGAGGACTGTAATCGTGATTTCTGGCGGTAGACAGGAAAGGAAATAAGTATTCAGCCAAGTAACTGGGTTGAAGGTGGGTAAGATGACACTGCAATTAGCACACATACTGAATTCAAGGCAAACAATAGGTTATTTTTGATTGTCCTTCTTAAGTGGATGGCACCATACAGAAAACTGAAGAAGGTAGCACTGATTTGATAAAAATAAGCCAAAGTGGGCTGGGAAGGTGGCTCAGTGGTAGCGCACTTGCCTTGCATGCCTGAGGCCCTGGGTTTGATTCCTCAGCACCACATAAGCAAAAAAGAAAAAAGCCGGAAGTGGCACTGTGGCTCAAGTGGTAGAGCGCTAGCCTTGAGCTGAAGAGCTGAGGGGCAGTGCCCAGACCCAGAGTTCAGGTCCCACGACTGGACCCCTTCCCCCCCCCCCAAAAAAAAAAAATAAGCCAAAGGTTGCTACAAGGAAACATACTTCAGCTGAAAATTAGTATAGTGATTCTCCTTGCTTCAGGGAAAACTCTCACTTCCTCTTCCACCTTTATGAAGAAAATATATTCTAGATTATTTCAGAGCAACAACTCGGTATCAAGAGTCTGACACTTCATCATGAGTAATGCCAATGAGTGGGCCCTTCTCCATTGCCAGACAAGCTTATATATACTAACTTTAGCTCTCCCAGAACTGAGATTCTTCAATTTTCTAAAATTTAATGAGTCCAATTAATGTTGGTTAGACTGTTGATGTATAATAATTAAGAACACAAAACTTCTTATGCTAGTAATATAATCAACTCTGACCCACATTACCATGTGCTCTCAAACTGCATAGACTTAAAAAATGCAGAAAGTTGGGACATTTAAATATTTAGTATCAAGGCTGATATTTGAAAGGTATGTATATTACATACCGTCTATGTACATACATATGTACGTAAGCAATATAGAAAGGTATGTAGGTTATAGTAATTTAGAAAACTACTGTCCATTTTTAAGCAAATGACAGGCAAAAAGAAGAGAAAGAAGAGGAGGGGGAAGAAGAGGGGGAAGAGGAAGAGAAAGAGGGGGAAGAAGAGGAGGAGGGGAGGAGGAAGAAGAAAGGGTAAGAAGGGAGAGAGAGGGAGGGAGGGAGGGAAAGAAAAAAAGGAATCAAGTAGATGTGATTCATTTTCCTTTAACTAACTTTTCCAAATGTTCTACCAGAAATTCTATTTTGACCCGAATACTATTGGTCTCTGTAATGACACTGGTTTGTTACATTTGAGAAAAGTATGGTGATTTTTGTGGCTAAGAAAACTAAAAATTCAACATTTTTTTAAATCTAAGAAGCCATCTTAATTAAAAAAAAAACAACCCTAAGTGTTATGTAATAAGTACAGACTTTTTGAGTTAGGTAAATTTTATGCAAACTAAAAGAATAACTTGATATATGATTAGAAAATAAAAGTGTAATCACTTCAGAGAATCCTAAGCTTCTGAATAAAATGTCACAGATATATATATATATATATATATTTTTTTTTTTTTCTTAGAATGTAAGGTAAAATAGTGAGGGAACAGTAAGAACATCCATCACGGCAGCTCTTTCTCCACAACATAATCAGGGAGAGAGGTCTGGAGAGGCATCACCAACGTGTCACTGAGCTCACGCACTTTTCAAATGGCCCTGCATCTACTGCCAAGGTCCAACGTCTTCCACTCTTCTCTGCTATATCCAAAATTATTTTTTTACTCTTCAACCATATGTCTGCTAATTTGCTGTGTGTTCTTACCTTAGTTCACCTGTTCAGAAACGAATGAGAAACTTTCTCTGCTGAATGTACTTGATCTAATGATGGTAGAAAGCTAGCATATGTGAACAAATCCAGTAAGAGCTCAGTTAAAATAGCAGAAAAGCATTTTGAGTCATGGATCCTGGCCACAATTTTCCTTCTTTAACAGTTAGTATAGGTTACTATTGACTGCTAGTTTCTGAGTCTGAAGTGAAGCAGTTTGCCTAAGGAGTCTAATGACAGGCAGCCTTAAGTGAGAGTGCTTAAAATAGTGCCTACCAAATAAAACATCGTTGTTTTCTAATTTCTCTGCATACACAAGTGCTTTCATACTTACATAAAGCTAAAAAGTGAATTTTATTCTTTTGTTTAGAGTTTTTCTCCTCATTCCTCTGGGGGATATTTTAACTGGTATTAAAAATGGAGTGGTTCTCAAATAAAAACACTAGAATTTGTATATCAGATAATATTTTTTACACCTTTGATTAAACTAAGAATGAAGCTATCAAGAGTTTTAGTATATATGAGTCTCCAATAAAATTTTAGGCAGGATATTACATTCACAAGTACTAGAGCACAGAAAAGGTGGAAAAGGTGCATTATTTTTTTATGAGGGAAAGAATGTAAACGTGTATTACTTTGTCTTCCAAACACTTTTGGTGAGGGATGCCCTTTTTCTCATTACGGTTCTAAGAGGAAAGAAATGGATGTTTAAGTAGGTATTTGAGACTTTGTCACAGTAAGCTGAAAGTTCATAAGCCTTGTTTCTAAGCAGCCTATACACCAACAGGACAAACATACCAGAAAAAGAAAAAAAATGTATTTTTTATCAGTGTATTACCTATGAAAAAAGAAGACTGATGGGGCCTAGAGGAGAAAGAACAAACCATCCATTTGCTACACTGATGTAAAAACCAGGAGTTGAAATACCAGCATTTAATGTAAGTTTTTCTCTATGCCATCATCTAGATTCACTAACAGAGAATGGAGCTGACAATTCAAGTGGCTCTAGATACAGAGTACCAGCAATTTTGTCTAAGAAATGACTGACCACTGGTCTTCTACATATACTAATAATTACTGCTATTGCTTGATAGACTAGTAATAGTTCCCTCAAAGTTTTAAAGTATAAAAAAAACAGGTTAGGGAAAAATTCTAAAGTAGAAATAATATAGCCTTTTATCTACTAAAGGTCTCTTAGTACATTGTCACCACTGATTATTAGGCAGGATTTATTTAAAATTAAGAAAAAGTAAACATTTCCCTTCTGTCTTAAGAAAGGGATTGCTTGGCAAAACAAATGATAGCCATAGAAGCCACAAAGTTGTATGATTTTTCAGGAAAAAGAAATTTTCAGTTCATACAGGGAACAAATTTTGGAAGCTTATCAGAATAAAAATGTAAGAAACTCCTTTTAAAAAATTTGTCAGTTAACTGATAGAAATTTATCAATAGCTGGGAGTGAAGTTTTATGATACAGAGAAGGTCTAATAACAAAAACCTAAGTTGAAGAGTAGTAAGCGTGATGTTAACAAAGAGGAACTGTTAACAGCTGCCTTTCTACTTGGTTGTCTCTTGGTCTAAAAATAAGTGTAAATGTCATAAAATTTAACTTTCATGAATCTACTGATGTTTGACTTTGGAACTTCATCTCGGTCTTGAGTGGGCATTAAAAGACTACTTTTTCCTAATAGTTTTATATTAATTTTGGTAGATTTTATATATTTATATATATATGTGTATTATTTCAGTGCTTGAGGCTGTACCTAGGGCCTTAATTTTCTTGGCAAGTATTTCCACTACTGAACTACACCCCAACCATGAAATGCTAAATTTAATGGACATCTTAGGAGGAAAAGGAATGAGAAAAGCAAGTGAGAATTGGTATTGTATACAGACCATATTAGTCTGATATATGAATGTATATGACCAGGTTTAGATTGCAACATTTTAGCTCAGGTTTCTACCATGGCAGGGCAGAAAACTCAGTGGTTATTTCTTAAAACTGCTGGCAGAAACTGCTAACAAGGTCTTTTGTAGCAATATGTAGCAATATAATATGGAGGACACCCTTGTTATACACAACAGTATATGGTTCCCCACAATGGACTTTTAAAAATTGATCAAATTCTGGCTTAAGTGGGTAAGAGCAGAGGAAAAAATACCTAGTATTGGTGTGAAGAACCTCCAAAATAGCTGTCTTTCAACTCAGTTAGTATTGTATTACAATTCCCCTACATGCTGGAGCATAGTAAGGCATAATTTTAGTTGTTATGGCTGGGATGTGGGCAAACATAGTCCACATCTACTTCTAAAAAACTAAGTACCAGAACCTCTTACATGAATTTCAACTAGTAGGAGTATAGAAGCGTGTGGGATGCTTTATTATGAGAGATGCTCAGGACTCTAAAGCAGCAGCAACTTAAAATTTAGTAATAAAACTTTGGCTTAAAATTAGAAAAAGAAAAAGTCAAACTGGTGCAAGTTGTATCCTGAAAGAGGTATGTGGGACTCATAAATGCCATCCAACATTAGTTTCCCCCATCTTCTTTCACTGTTATCACTATCATTGCACAGGAGTTATATCATTCTTTTATGGTTAAGTTCATAAATAATGAGAAAACCATATGTAACAAATACATCATATTGCCCACCCCCCCAACAACCCTCCCCCAAATAAGAAAAGTTAAATCAAATTAAAAAGTAGCTTCATGAATGAAGGTACTGCTCTAAGTTGCACTTTTCCTGCAAGTGCAGCCAGTGCCTTTGTGCTGGGTATGAAGGAAAGGAAAGGAAAAAATTCTCCACATAAACTGACAAAAATTTAAAAACCAATGTCCGGTTTCAACCAGTCAAAACCGGCAAAGCAGAAGCTGAGAGACATCTCCATACTATCCCATCAGAGGGTCCTTTCAATGCCTGTTCTGTTCTTCATCTTGATAGATATCTGTGTCCTTGTGATTGTAAACAATCCATAAGATACTATGTTTTTGTTTCTTAAAACATCCTCTAATTGGCAAAATGAAGTATTTGTTTTAAAAATAGAAAATTAAGATTAAACCAGAAGAAAAGAAAAGAAACACAGTGAGCTTGTTTGGAGTCCATAGGATCCGATCTGGAAGAGCTCGGAAAATGTGTTATGTTTTTTTCTCCTGTTTTCAGCTGGAAAAAAGGTACTAGAGGTTGCGTTGGTCGAGGAAAGAATTGTAGAGTAGGAAAACCAGGATGTTAATCTAGACTTCAGAGAATTCAAGTGTTAGCTTCATCATCCGTGTCTTCTATCAATACTTTAGTGTCACGAGTCTTGGATCTAGTGGTAATAAGAGGAAAAAAAAGCACTTAGTTCATTACTAATATATAAACATACTCATAGAATTAGGTACATTTCCAAACTTACCACCACTAAACATCCTAAACAGGCATTATTTACTGCACTTAGTGGCTCATGCTTATAATCCTAGCTACTCAGGAGGCTGAGATCTTTTTTTTTTAAGGTAAAATGGTATTTTATTAAAATGACATCAACAGAAGCAATTATCAAAATGCTTTAATATGAATGGGTTTTATCTACATGTAAATTACTCTAATTGCCACACTATTTCTGGGGTTCATACTCAATTTCAAGGTATCACTAGAAAAACTCTATGGGGAAGGTAACAAACACAAATCAAGTTTACCAGAACAGTAATCTGGAATAGGAAGATTTGCATTTGCTGTGGGCATGGCTCAAACAGTAGAGTGCTTGCCTTAAAAGCACAGGGCCTGAATTCAAACCCCAGTACCACTAAAAAAGATCTAAATTTGAGCCAGGTGTGGGTAGCTCACGGCTGTAATCCTAGCTACTCAGGAGGCTGAGATCTGAGGGTCACGTTTCAAAGCCAGCCTGGGCAAGAAAGTCCATGAGACTCTTTCTTATGCCCAATTAACTATCAGAAAACTGTAAGTGGTGTTGTGGCTCAAGTGGTAGAGCGCACGCCTTGAGCTGAAGAGCTCAGTGATATCACCCAGGCTCAGAGTTCAATCAAGCACCACCACTGACCAAAAAAAAAAAAAAAAAAAAAAAATGTAAATTTGAGTACTGACTTTGACTGACCAAACCTTACTTTTTTTTTTTTTTTTTTTGGGTTGCTCCCTTTTTTTTTGGTCAGTGTTAGGGCTTGAACTCTGGGCTTGGGCATTATCCCTGAGCTCTTCAGCTCAAGGCGAGTGCTCTACCGCTTGAGCAAGAGCACCACTTGCGGTTTTCTAGTGGTTTATTGGAGATAAGAGTCTCAAGGACTTTCCTGCCTGGGCTGGCTTAGAACAGTGATCCTTAGATCCCAGCCTCCTGAGTAGCTAGGATTACAGGCATGAGCCACTGGTGGCCGGCCAAACATCACTTTTGGAATGCCCATTTCCATATCTGTAAAGAAGGAATACCAATTTCATTACTAATCCTTTCACCTCATGGAGAGTGTGCTTATCCATCAAGTGAGGAAATGGGTACAAAAAGCATCAATAAGGCATTAAACAAATATAAGGAATTATGATAAGGATAAGCAAAATACTACCCGAAGTAGCCTGAAAAACTAGGAGAGTTAGCAAATAGAATAATGAGCATATAATAAAATTATTAAAATCATGTTGGAGTAAATTTAAGCCAACAACATCTACCACTGTATCCAACAATAAAATTCAGTAGGTGTTTCATATAGTTACAGACGCCATTATCACTATTAATTGGCCATTAGCACAAAATGGTCATCTGTTGAAAGATGCCGTAAAAGACATTCCTGAACTGGATAAAAAAAATGAGATTAGGTAATGTTTACATATCCTGCAAGTTATGAACCTCATAAGATATAAGCAGTATTTCATGAGATAGGAATCATTATTCCTACTTGGCAGAGGGGGAAGCTGACATTCACAAAATTAAAGGATGTATGCTAAAGGTCACACAAATCATAAAGTTAGAGCTCAGAGTCAGATCTTCTCACATTAGATTCCTTTACTACCTTTGTTGCACCAAGCTTGCTCTACTCTAAATATCTTCCTTTGGCTGTAGTCTAGTTATCCAGTGTTTTTACTAAACACCTGAAATTGAACATAATTGCTTAAAAGCCTGCTAGTTTCTGAAATAGTGTGATTAGACTTCCCTCTGCTGGAAAATCATGAAGATTGCACTTTGAAAATCAGGAGCTAACAGATCGCACATCATGTAAGACATTTAGCCTCTAGTGGTACTTATCTTGCTAAGTATACCCACCCACTCAGTGTTCTTCTATCCCAGCCTCTTTAAACATTACTTCCTTGGTATAAAACCGCTTTGATTTTCTTCCTATCAATTTTCTTGACCACTCTGCCTTTTATTTATGTGTTTATCTCCTGCAAGTTTCTTGCTCTCTGCTTTCATTTTTCTCTGCTTTCTTTTCAGAGAATGTCTAAAGTCCTATCTAAACCTTTGGAATTTTTTTTAGTTGGTCATGGGGATTGAACTATGGGCCTAGGTGCTATCCTTGAGCTCTTCAGTTCAAGGTAAGCACTCTACCACTTGGCCAAAGCACCACTTCTGGTTTTCTGGTGGTTTACTGGAGATAAGATTTTAACAGACTTTCCTGACCTGGCTGACTTTGAACTGCAATCCTCAATTCTCAGCCTCCTGAGTAGCTATGATTACAGGTATGAGCCACTGGTGCCTGGCTAGAAATTTTTATCCTATTAAGAAAGAGGAGCAGTAGTGGCTCATGCCTGTAACCCTAGCTACTCAGGAGGCTGAGATTTTTTTTAAAAAAGTAAGTTGGTATTTTATTAAAATGACATCGACAGAAGCAATTATCAAAATGCTTTAATATCAATTAGTTTTATATATCATGTAAATTACTCTAATTGTCACAGGCCTAATTCTCTTAGAATGATGGTTTCCTGTGCATCTTTCTCAACTATACGTTACTGAGAAGTTCCTACAGAACTGAGGCTGTAGGGGCTGGGAAGGTGGCTCAGTGGTAGAGCACTTGCCTTGCATGCCTGAGGCCCTGGGTTCAATTCCTCAGCACCACATAAGCAGAAAAAGCTGGAAGTGGTGCTGTGGCTCAAGTGGTAGAGTACTAGCCTTGAACTGAAGAGCTCAGGGACAGCGCCCAGGCCCAGAGTTTAGGCCCCACAACTGACAAAAAGAGAAGAAAAGAATTGAGGCTGTAGCTCAGTGATAAGAGTGCTTGCCTCACATGAGCTTGACCCCCAGCATTGCAACCCCCTCCCGCCCCCACCAATTCCTTTTATAAACTTTCTAAATGTAAGTTTTTTACTTCCACATTCAGCTTTGGGGACACTAAAGGGCTTGCATATTATGCCACTTCACCCCCCTACCCTCCAACTCCCTGTTTCCTTTACTCTTGGTGTTGGCTGTTTGGTTTATATGAAAGCATAAGTAGACACTGTATTTTGTAACAATAATGATGTTTTCTTTCAAACTTCTCAGTTAACCACTTTTAGTCCCATATTACTAATACTTGACAGTTATTTAAATAAGAGGCTGAGATCTGAGGATCACAGTTCTAAGCCAGCCTGAGCAGGAACATCCTTGATACTCTTTGTATTTTTTTTTGGTTAGCCATGGGGCCTGAACTCTGGGCCTGGGCGCTGTCCCTCAGCTCTATCAAGACTAGAGCTCTACCACTAGAGCTCTACCACAGCGCCACTTCTAGTTTTCTGGTGGTTTATTGGACATTAAGAGTTTCATAGCCTTTCCTACCCAGGCTGGCTTTGAACCACGATCCCCTTTATTGACCATCAGTTTGTTTTATCATCACTGAAAGCAATGGTATGTAAACACTCCTGCAAATATTCATTTGTGTAGAGATTTGTGTGTGTGTGTGTGCGTGCGTGTGTGTGTGTGTGTGTGTGTGTGTGTGTGTGTGTCTGTCTGTCTGTCTGTCCTGGTACTGGGGCTTAAACTCAGGGCCTGAGTGCTGTCCCTTAACTTTTTTGCTGAAGGCTGACATTCTACCACTTGAGCCATAACATGTATTTCCTACATGTAGCATTGATTTATTATTTTTTTTGGGGGGTGGGGGCGCGTCGGTCGTGGGGCTTGAACTCTGGGCCTGGGCGTTGTCTCTGAGCTCTTCATCTCAAGGCTAGTGTCCTACCACTTTTAGCCACAGCACTATTTCTGGTTTTCTGGTGGTTTATTGGACATAAGAGTTTCACCAACTTTCCTGCCCAAGCTGACTTTAAACCGCAATCCTCAGATTTCAGCCTCCTGAGTAGCTAGGATTACAGGTGTGAGCCACCAGCGCCTGGCTCCTAGATACTCTTATCTTCACTTAATAACAGAAAAAGCCAGAAACGGAGCTGTCCACTCAAGTGGTAAAGCACTAGCCTTGAGCAAAACGAGATCAGGGACAGAGCCCAGGCCCAGAGTTCAAACCCCAGGATGTACAAAACAAACAACAAACAGAGCTTTTTTTCACCCTACCTTTAAAATGCCTCTTTATGTCTAATCTGAATGTTCACTGTCTGATAGTTCCAAATACTACAATCATTTCCAATTGGTCTCAGGCCTTCAGGCCTTCCCTCTCTTAATGTGTTTTTCACAGTGCGATTAAAACTATTTCCTGCCTACAAGATCAAGTTTGTATTTCTCAATCTTTGGTAATCATACTTTTATGTTTATCCAACTAACTTTTTCTCACTACTGCTCTAGTCACATGGTTTTCCTTTCTGCCCCTCATTTCTACCTTTATACTCTTTACTGGGCTTGTGGCCTAATTCCTTTAAAAATCTCCTCCTTTATTCCTACTGTTTAGGCTATCAATTGTTTAAAATTTCAAATGCAGTTACCATATACTCTACATTTATTTTTAATTCTAGAAATACACAGTCACCATTGTTATATATTATATTACCTATAATAAAATGTTAGAGGTATTTAATAATACTCAGTAATACTTATACTCTCTTTTTGTAAAGGAACTGGTATAATCTAATAATAAATTTAGTCCTGCTAATCATTCTTTGTGCAGAAACTATATTAATTTTAATTTCCAAAAGGGGGATAATAGGGAATTTAAGGGAATTGTTAAAGATTACATAGATGATAGGACTCTTAAAGTAGGTAGCTTGAAGATTTTTAGTATAACATATTCAAAGTAAATCATTCAACAAAATTTTTCCCCAGTTTACCTTTTAATGTCCAATTGGTAGGTAATGAGTTGAATGACATTTACTCTATGTACTCATTAAGGTGTAAATTGGATCATATGAAATTACTGTTTATCACAATGTTTTTTGTAAGTGAATAATGGTGAAAAAAACAGCAAATTCATTTGGTTGAATCCAACAACTTCTTGGATTAAATGTTACTAAATGTCAAAGCCCTTACAGAATTGGAAACTATACATACTGAGAAGCAAGGCGAGGCCGGCGCAGGGATATGCTCTGGTTATACTTCCATGACCGATTCTTTTGGCGGTTTCGAACCCCGTCTTCCTGGTCCATCATCTGCTCAAGAAGTGTCTGATCATCTGCATTCAGTGGAGCCACGGAGATGTCTCGCACAGCACGGAATTCACCACAGTTATTTAGATGTTCATTCTCCAGACGGAAGAAGTTCCACACAAAACGCCTTGTAGAGCAAACACATTCCTCATAAATATGAATATACTAATTACTATCACCTATAAACCTCCCAGAGTATTAGGTTTCAAGTCATGGACACACAAGCAATCAGTCTAGAATAAATAAAGAAAGATGGAGTAGGGATAAAGGTAGGAAAACAAAAGTGGACTCAAAGAATGTGGTTTTATAAAGTTCCACTGTTTCACATTATCCAGTAAATATTTACTGAGTATCTACTGTAAGGGAAGGAGGCATGAGACAAAGCCTTTGTCTTTATTTTACTGGTAGAGAGAATAAGGAATAACTCATTTGATGGAAAGTGTTCTGAAGAAAGTAAAACTGGAAAGGGCAGAGAATATGCTATCATAAGATTGGTTAGGGAAAGTGTCTCTGAAGAGATGGCATCTAGCAAAATTCTGAATGATACAAAGAAATAAGTCAGGAGAAAAATGGAAAAGCAAGTATTAAGTAGAAAAAACAGATGATGAAAATGTCTTGGTGTACTGAAACAAAACCAAGAAGGTCCTTAGGGCTAGAGTAAAACAAGTGAGGTTAAAATGCAGAAGATGGAGAGAGAGAGGAGGGTATTACTTCAGGTATAATAGAAAACAATGGAAATGAAGAATTTTGATTTATATAAAAAAGATCCTTCTATGGGCTGAACAGTAAATAGGTAAGAGGAGAAAAGAACAGCTAAAAATGAATTAGAAGGGTGGTGTGGTCTGGACAGATTATGGTGAGTGAGCCAAAGATGATTATGAAGAGGTGATAAGGCTAGGCGCCAGTGGCTCACACCTATAATCTTAGCTACTCGGGAAGCTGAGATCTGAGGATGATGGCTCAAAGCCAGCCCAGGCAGGAAAGTCCATGAGACTCTTATCTTGAATAAACCACCAGAAAACTGGAAGTGGTTCTGTAGCTCAAGTGGTAGAGCGCTAACTTTGAACTGAAGAGCTGAGGGACAGTGCCCAGGCTAAAGGAAGTATGTTAAAATCTTCCACTAAAAGTATGAGTTAATCTACTTTTTAGCATTGGTAACTTTTGCTTTATGTGGTTTCAAGGTATGTTATTGGATGCATATAGAATTGTCAATAACTACTGAAACTCAAACCTTCCATAGTGGGTAAATTTCTGTAGTAAAGAAGCAGTTTTGGGATGCTGCTTATATTGGGATTTCTGCTTTCCCTTAGATTTTATATTGATATGTCAGGCTGTTGATATTTTTAGGAAGAGTTTAAATACAAAAACAGGAATAAATTGTAAAAATTAATTCTTACAAGATTTTAATAACTGTACCAAGCTGTTTTTTGTTTTGGTAGTCTTTGAGATTGAATTCAGTACTTCACACTTGCTAGACAGATACTCTACCACTGAAACTATATTTCTAGCCCCTTTCTGTGTTGGTTATTTTCAAGCACTCACTTTATGCGGGCCTTGCCTGGCCTGAGCCTCCCTGTTGCTCCTTCCCAAGTCACTGAGGCTAACAGGACTATACCACCATGCCTAGCCAGTGGTTGAGATGAAGTCTCAAGAACTTTTCTGTCAGGTCTAGCCTTGAATTGTAATCCTCTGATCTCTGCCTTCCAAGAAGCTAGGATTACCAACCTGGTCATTCCAAGCCTTTTTAACCTCCCAATTTCCTTTCATAACTCTCAATAGAGCCCCTTTCTTAAAACTTAGAAATCATCAATGATTATTTTTAACTTAACAAGCATTAATCTCCAAGTCATTTAAGTAAGATTTTCTAACTCACAGGCTGATCAGAAGTTTGAGAACAGTAGGAAAATTTAAGCTTATCACCTGTTATAATTTATTCTAATTAAAGTATTGAACGTGTTTTATGTAAAAAGAATGTTTTATGTAAAAAAGAATCTGATAAACTTTTCAATGCTTACCGGAAAACTTCAAGGGGGGCAAAGACAGTTGCAATGATGTCCCCAACATTAGACAACTTAGTTGTAGAGGTAATTGAGATTTGGATAGTCCAAGCAAAGCGCAGTATGACATCCTCTATGATGGCACAATAGTAGTAAGCCTAACGAACAATAAATAAATTAAGTATGTTTTCTATCACCTTTCTCACAAATAAACATACTTATAAATAGCTAAGACCCACATCAATAGAATCATGAGGAAAAAAAGTTATTCTAATTTTAGAGAGGATATATATTTTAGGAAGATATCAAATAATTTCTTTTAATGGTACATCATTCAAAATGAAGTAATACTAAGTGTCAGTAATTCTTTAACATATATATTTCAGTCTTATATTGTATATCAGACTCTCTTCTAGCGCCCAGAAATACAAGCTAAAAGAGAACCTTGATCACTTTGGATTACATTTTAGCAGGAACATGATATGCTAATGACTAATAACTAACATTAGTGAATATTAACAGATTTATTGACCGTATTATTTGCACTCAGTTTTTCAAATTGCAAAGCTTAGATTTCACAAACATGGTTGGAATTAAGAAATGCTCTATTTTTTGCAGAGGAAGAGGCACTCAACAAATATTCATGGGGACTAGTATTGAGGACTTAGTAATCTAGTCTTAAATACACAAACTGCCAATCGATCTTGATATTTATGGATATGCTCATTAAAAATTCTTGTTCTCTCTTTCCCCCTTCCTTCTTTCACTTCTTTTTTTTTTTTGGTCGGTTGTGGGGCTTGAACTCGGGCTTCGGCGCTGTCCTTGCACTCTTCAGCTCAAGGCGAACACTCTACTGCTTGAGTCACAGCGCCACTTCTGGTTTTATAGTGGTTTTATTGGAGATAGACTTTCTTGCCTGGGCTGGCTTTGAACCGTGATCCTCAGATCTTAGCCTCCTGGGTAGCTATGATTATAGGTGTGAGCCACCGGCCCCCAGCCCTTCCTTATCTTTTTCCTCCCCCCCCCCCTCTCTTTCTATTTCTTTCCCTTCCTTCCTTTCTTACTTTTTTTTTCCCCAGAGTTGAGGACCAAACTCATTGAACTAAGTTCCCCCACCCCCAATAATTTCTTTCTTTCTTTCTTTCTTTTTTTTTTTTGGGTCCGGTTGTGGGGCCTGAACTCTGGGCCTGGGCGCTGTCCCTCAGCTCTTCAGCTCAAGGCTAGCGCTCTACCACTTGAGCCACAGCGCCACTTCCGGCTTTTTTCTTTTTCTTATGTGGTGCTGAGGAATCGAACCCAGGGCCTCAGGCATGCAAGGCAAGCGCTCTACCACTGAGCCAACTTCCCAGCCCCCCAATAATTTCTTTATTATGCATTTAAAGGCCAAGACAATTCTGGGAACTAGAACTGTTGTAAACTACTATGTACTAAGATTTAGCATTTAACAATGCAGTATTAGCCATTTTTGGAGGGCTATTACTTTTTCCCCCATTCCCTAGAAACATTTTCAAAATTTGTAGTTACTTATTATACTATCTACCTTCCATATTTAATTACTATGTACTGTTCTATCTTGATTAGTCAATTTTATACAAAAGCCTTACTGATTATTATAGATTTTGTGAAGATTAAGAGGATTTTAATATAGCCACAAAGATTCCTCTGCTCTCTTCTCCCATACTTCTAATATAGTGATAATATATTTTTAAGAAAAATCCATGTTAAATGTACTCATTATTAGCCATAAGTTAAGAACTACAATTTCTTTAAAGTTATCCCTAGTTAGCTAGCATGGAAACTGCCAAAAATTTTCAGGAGGAATACATATGACTTAAGATCAAGAGGGAGGGAAAATGTATGTTCCAATATGGAGTAACAAAATGGTTCCTTAACCTGAGATGTGATGTTCAATATTATGAACTACCAATCTCTATGAACTGATGCCAAGGTTCATATTGCTGTATAAAGTATTGCTGAATGAAGTAACTGGACTCCACAAATGATTTTATTCTTTTTTAAAAAATTTAAGTAGTTGTCCAAAGCTATTGCCATTTAACAAAGCAGTTTATGAACACATTGTATTCTGATCAATGTCACCCTTTCAACATTCTCAACCATCCCTCTCCTACCTACATCTTCTCTTACTCTTCAACATACACTTAATTCTTGACTCCTCTTGTCCTTTTCTTATTTTTTAAGCTGGATGAATTTTTTCTCAATATTTGCCTTTTCAAAACTCAAAGTGATGCAGTGATTCAGCAAAACATTTTTCTTATAAATTTGAAAACCATATGGTAGGAAAGTTAGATACTTTATTTCTGAGGTTCATGATCATATGCAGTAACCAAAAAACTGACCAAAACCTCCTTTTACTAACTTCGTTATATAGAAATCAATAAATCTGAAGTGTTTAAAAAGATAATGGATTAATATTTATACAAAGTTACAATTTACCTAAGCATATCGTAATTAGAAATATATTACAGCTTTCACTCCAGCAAGAATAATATAAGGGCTAAGTACAAAAGGCCATTTAACTTAATTCATGCCTACTCTTGATTTTTTTTCATGCATTTGCTCATTTGAAGTTACACTATATTTCATTCTTTGTGTTCACTTTATTACTTTTCTTCAATCCTCAAATTTGGAATCAGCTTTCCCTACCCAACAAATAAGCATTACTGAGTTATATACTGCCAAAATATAATTTTATAGCTGAGCACTAGTGGCTCACACCTATGATCCTAGTTATTCAGGAAGCTGAGATCTAAGGCTGCAGTTTGAAACTATTCTAGGCAGGAAAGTCTGTCAGACTTATCTTTAATTACCCAGCAAAAGAGTTGGAAATGGAGGTGTGGCTCAAGTGGTAGAATGCCAGCTTTGAATGAAAAAAGCTAAGGGACAATGCCCAGGTACTAAGTTCAAGCTGCAGTAAGCACCAATCAATCAAAACATAATTTTAAGGTACTGAAGGACATTTTAATATAATGTATAAAATATTAACTAATGATCAATCCATACCTTCTTATCCATAATGCAATTTAAATCTGAGCATATAGTCTAATTTTTTTAACCTTTTAGAATCCACTATAATCTGGTTGCATATAGATACACAATTAAGTAACACAGTAGATTAAATTTACATATTAGGATTCTTAGTTCATTGTTTATTTCCTTCAAAGTCTAGTCACAAATGTATCTTTTAATTAATGCATCTGAGAGTACACTTTTAATCTTTTTTTTTTTTTTGGGTCCGGTCATGGGGCCGGAACTCTGGGCCTGGGCACTGTCCCTCAGCTCTTCAGCTCAAGGCTAGTGCTCTACTACTTGAACCACAGCGCCACTTCTGCCTTTTTTTTTTCTGCTTATGTGGTGCTGACGAATCGAACCCAGGGCCTCATGCATGCAAGGCAAGCGCTCTACCACTGAGCCACCTTCCCAGCCCACTTTTAATCTTTTGACTTAAATTCAGCCTCCATCCTTTTAGTCACATGTGGAAAAAATTCTAAAATAATTATTGCCTGTAATTTATAATTATATAATTATAATTGGCACTTGATTGTAACAAATACTGGTTGAACTGAACAAAAGCAGAAACCTATGGACCCAAGCAGTCAGGTATTCCCTTTCTTGTAGGTGTTCAGCTGCTCCTTTAGTCAAATAGGTATGCACTTGTTCCTTCATTGACTACTACTTAACTATGCCCAAATAGATTATACTACAATTTATTAATCGCAGCAATGGAAACTTGCATAGCTAAAAATAATTAGTATGAATGACAAATATGCTTAAAAAGTTAGAAAGGTTTCTTAAGAATGTATTATTCTTCCAGTTGTTTTTTGTTAATTAACTTACACTTGTTTTTTGTTTTTTTTTGGGTCTGGTTGTGGGGCCTGTACTCTGGGCCTGGGCGCTGTCCCTCAGCTCTTCAGCTCAAGGCTAGCGCTCTACCACTTGAGCCACAGGGCCACTTCCGGATTTTTTCTTTTTGCTTATGTGGTGCTGAGGAATGGAACCCAGGGCCTCAGGCATGCAAGGCAAGGGCTCTACCACTGAGCCACCTTCCCAGCTCTAATTTATACTTGTTATAGAGGAAGATTTCATTGTTACTTTTCCATGTTAACAATATAGTCCAATCAATCTCACCTGCTGTTCCAGTTTTTTGTTGTATTGTACTAGAATTCATTTATTTGTTTAGAAAACAGTTTATAGCCTCCTAGAGGAACACAATTTATTTTGTTTATACTTCGAATAGTACCTATACATAATATATTGATGATTTGATTATTTGGGGAAATACTTTTCTAATTTTACTAGGTTAATATAATCAGGAATTAGATCTGTTTTGCAATAGGATGTAATAAATGAGACATATAAGGTGTTTTTGTGTTTGTTCTTTTTAATGCAAACATCTTATACATACTTTTTGAGGATATACAATCTCTTCCCGGAGGAAAGTGTTTTCTCCAGCATTCTTATCAAATAGACCCCAATCCATCTTTAGATCCCAGATGAGGGTGTAGCAGGAACTGATGATACAAAAGACGATCCACAAGTAAAAGAACACATTAGTGTCAGAGTGTCTTTGTTCTGAAGAAAAGGGAAAGGAAAAGAGAGAAAGTTACTAGACTTAAGTAAAACTCTTCATTAAATAAAACTAATTTTAAAAGTTTTAAGGTAACTATGACTTTTCTAAAACAAATCTCCTTATAAGGATCATTGTCTAGCAAAAGTTAAATAAATGATTTCCTTGAGATCTAAAATCATCATCAAACTTTTATTGAGGACATCATATTTTTACAAATGTGCATTTAGAGTTTTGGAGACCCCACATCAAATATATAGAAATCTAAATGATTTTAATGGATCTTTTTTGAATATTCTAAAATATGTCATTAAAATCTTTGCCATCAGGTGGCAGCTTAGGGTAAAAGATGGTAAAATTTTGGAAACATCACTAACAAAGAATGTGGTATATTTGCTGCAAGAAATTTTTGAGTTGTTTTTATAACAACATTTCCTTCACACAGTTTGATCTTCTCAGTATTAATTGTGAAGACAATCCAATAATTGTAGCTAGAATGCCAGAATATGGCAGACTAATGAGGAATTTAGTCTTAAGGACATGTATAACTCTTACACTGACATGCTGAATTGAAACTCCTTATACAACTAAAGATAATACAAAGAAACTTTAAAAACTGAATTAAAAGATTAAAAAGTAAATTTCTTGAGTCCAAAAATGATATTTTACATCTTTTAGAAAGTGTTTATTGATACAAAGGTCAAATTTTGTTTTATGCTGAGAACACACTGAATACAAATAAAAATAACTGCATATGTAGTTACAGATTTAGAAATTATAGTCTCTATATAAATTATATTTATAAATTTATACATAAATTGTTTATAAGTTAGTCTATATAAATTTATAAGCTATAAATTTATGTACAGATTTATAAATTATAGTGAACAATAAATTATGATACAGTAATAAATATATAACAATATTATAAATGATTTAAAATTATTATTGGTTACCAATGTGGCTATATATGTTTTTTGGTTATAAGTGTTTCTTATGTTCTCTGAAATTCATTTCTGGTAAGTTCCCAACTCATTATAATAAGTGCACTCTACAGGGAAGATATGGGTATTTTAAGATCACTGCTGAAATTACCTGAAAAAATGGTGTACATTTTGCTTAGTATCATCTTATATGGTCATATGAACATGGTTGTTGAGCTATTTTCCTCTCTGTTAGGATTATTCTAGACATATACTAATTATTACCAATGAGAGAAACCATGAGATCTATGTTTCCTTGGGTCTGACTTACTTAATATGATTTTTTCTAAGCTATTCCTTTTCCTTACAAATGGGGCAGTGTCATTCTTTCTGATGGAAGCATAGAATTCCATTTTCTTGATCCATTCATCTACTGAGGGGCATCTGGGTTGGTTCCAAATCTTAGCTATGGTGAATAATGCTGCGATGAACATAGCTTTGCTAGTAGCTTTAGTGTGGCCTTGTTTATGGTCATTTGGGTAAATGCCCAGAAATGGGATTGCTGGGTCATAGGGGAGCTCTATGTGTACTCTTTTGAGCAACTTCCTTATTGCTTTCCAGGGTGGTTGAACAAGTATATACTCCTACCAACAATACAGTAGCATTCCCTTTTGGCCACATCCCCTCCAGCATCTGTTGTTATTGGATTTCTCGATAATGGCCATTCTAACTGGTATGAGGTGGAATCTTAATGTTTTGATTTGCATTTCTTCATGTATCTACTGGACATGGACAGAGAGGTTTTTTGTTGTTTTTACTGTACTATGTGATTTCTTGTTTCTTTTGTATTTTCCCCTGTTGTCACGGTATTTGATTTTGGTACCCTGGGTATTGTATAAACATTTATCTGAATTAGGGAAAGGAATGGGAACAACAAAATGGTGAGACAAATGACAAAGGGGAAACCAATGCAGCAGTAATGCTCACAAGACAATATTCTGGAAATGATCTGTACAACTGGGGAGAGTTTTTTGCGGGGGGGGAGGGGAACTGGGAGAAAAATGAGGGAGGAGGTAATCAGTTCAACAAGAAATGTACTCACTACCTCACTTATGTAACTGTAACCCCTCTGTACATCCCCTTGATAATAAAATGAAAAATAAAAAAATTAAATGGTATACAACATCTAATTCAGTTAGTTTTTCAAATGTACTAACAGTGAGGGCTATCTCAGGCACTATTCATACTGTTCCTATTAATATAAACAAGTATTCATCACTTTGAGAATAACATGTTAAAGGATAATATGATTCAAAGGTAATTGTCATGTACAATCTAATAGGATTTATTGATGATCAATTTGAACTCAAATGAAGTATAAATAAAGAGGTACAAGGACATCAAGGAACATGGGAATGTTCCCAGTAGTAGGAAACAGCATTTGAGTTACTTATAGAAAATGAAATAAGTGGTGCTGTAGCTCGAGTGGTAGAGCGCTTGCCTTGAGCTGAAGAGCTGAGGGACAGTGCTCAGGCCCAGAGTTCAAGCCCCATGACCGACCAAAAAAAAAAAAAAAAAAAAAAAAGAAAATGAAATAAATACTACAGTAAAAGGCAGGAAAATGAGGTGAGGTCATCCAAAACTGAAGGAAAATAATGAAAAGAGGTGTGAGTAGGAAAGCATAAGTTATGGTCGAAAAGCTAAGTCATCCATACCTAGAAGAGGTGACATATAGAGTAAGGACACTGGGTTAATGAGGGTGGAAAGGACATTTTAGACCTGACTGTGGAATACCTTTTTTGGTCTTAGGATCAGATTTGTGTTGTAGAAAGTTGATTGGTTATTTAATCAGAATTACTTAGTTGGCTACAAAAAGTGGATACTACTGGATGCCAGTGGCTCATCCCGTAATCCTCGCTACCGAGGAGGCTGAGATGTGAAGATCATGGTTCAAAAGTCAGCTCAGGCAGGAAAGTCCATGAGACTCTTATCTCCAATTAACTACCAAAAAAGCCAGAGTGGAGCTATGGCTCAATGGTAAAGTGAGCAAAAAAGATCAGGGACAGTGCCTAGGTCCCAAGTTCAAATCTCAGGACCATGAGCACATGCATACACAATACACATACACACACAGTGCCTAGGTCCTAAGTTCAAATCTCAGGACCATGAGCACATGCATATACAATACATACACACACATACTCACACACACACACACATATACACACACACACACACACACACATATATATATATAATGGATAATTCAGAACTCCAGTACCAATTAAATTATACAAATGTATAACTATAAAATGATATAAAATTGATATGTTTATATAAAACCTATTTAAATGTATAGGTTATATATATGTTTTATATAAATGTGTGTCGATTTTATATCAATTTATCCTATCCATTATCATGGCAATACTGTGTAATGCTGTGTACTATATATACTTATTTTTTCCAACTCTAAACTCAATGTTACCATTTTATTATCAAAAAATTTGCTAATCGGTATATGATTCAGCAAAAGCTACAGTGGTGCATCTACTCATGATCACACTTGAGAAATGGTTTATTAGGCATATGTCACCTAAAAGCATATTCTCTTAGAAAATCAATGGGAGGAAAATGCCACTGGTATTTTTTTTTAAATGGCCCACAAGTCCAACTTGGAGACAGAGATACTTTCAGGTTTAAATTATTTTCGCAAAAATTATTCTTTATCAAAAGCTTACTAGAGCTGGGTGAAGGTGGATCATATTGGTAATCCTAGCTTAAGAAGGCTTAAATATGAGGACTGTGGTCCAAAGCCAGTCAAAGCAGAAAAGTCTGTGAGATTTCTCTCCAATTAATGAGCAAAAAAAGTAGAGGTATGGCTAAAGTTGTATAGTGCCTAGCCTGAGTAAAAAAGCTAAGCAAGAGTGCAAGCCTCTAAATTCAAGTCCTATTACCAGCACATTAAAAAAAAAGGCATATTAGGTTGAATATTTGTATTACAACATCATGTATATAAATTATTAATTTCTAAAAATATTTACTGTCTGAGTATAGGTGAATGTGTTCCAATATGTTTATTTCATTCCATACAGATGCAAATCTGAGTAAGTAGTATCATTCAGTAATTAGCATCATGGTTACATTTTAATGCATTGAGTAAAGTTTACAAAAAATAAAGTAATTTTAGCAATTCACTAACAATTCACTCTTTTCAGAGTTGGGAATGTAACTCAGTGGTATAGAACTTGCCCAACATGCCTAAAACCCTTGGGTTTGATTTCCAGCTCTCCTCTCTTCCTTACCCTCTCTTCTCCCTGCCCCTTCCCTCTACATCTTTGTTCTCTCCCTCTTCCTACCAAACAAAATCCACTCTTCTCATTTCTGAAAAGAAGCTAACTGAACTGTTAATTATGTTAGTGACTTTCAGAACTAAATGCTTATATGTATAATCTACTCTACATATGGCTTGAATTTTCTAATATATTTTGTTAGTAAAAATAAGGTTACAAGAATAGAGTAATATATATTTAGTAGGAGTTAAAGTATTCTCGTGAAAGCTAATTTCTGAAAGCTAATTTTCTTTTCTCTTTTACTGAATAATTGAGTATAAATTACCATATAAAAGACTGTAAAACGTCAAATAAAAAGTTAATAATGCTAATTTTTAGTATTCCTATACTTTAAGTCTTGTCATTATAGTTTAATTCTTAAAATAATACAATAGGTCAAGTGTCTCCCTCTTTTTTAAGCCTGTATTATTCTACAAAATTTCTGTGAAACACTCATGAAGACTTACTGAAGTTTAAGTAAATAATAAATATTCTTATAGAATACTTCAAAGATATTTTATTTTGTGGAACCCAATGATTAACATATATCTGGCATATGCATATAGTTTGGTCTCATTTTAATTACTACCCTCATTTCCCAGTTCCCAAATGAAGAAAGCCTTCTTGCTGAAATTATCTGCTTCATTGGTATTCGAAGGATACACTGAAAAGATATTATCACTTTAGGCAAGCAATTATATCTTATTCTCTCTTGGCTAACCTCAGTAGTCTACTTTAGTCATGTTCAGA